TACAGGGGACCCCACATACTTCTGAAAAAAGGTGTTTCTTAATTTTAAAAGCCCTAGTAGGAGGTGTGTTCTGACAGGAGAAAAGTTGGGGAACACATTCAGGAATGAGCTAAAAGAGTTATAGACCACACCCTTGCCTCACTTATAAGAGCTGCCCCATGGGGAAAACTAGGGAACAGACAGCATGGCAGCCACAGGTCTTCTCGTCAACTCTAGGTAGTTCTGGAAAAGTAAATGTCCAACCAAGAGTCTCTCTCCTTGCCCAGTCCAAAGGCCTAAGTCACCACCTAAGGCAACCATCTTTTCTACATCTCCAGATGATCATGCTTGAACCACCTGAGTAATTAGCAGGCTTTTGGGATGAAACTCTCAATGGGCTTTGCTATCCATGGTTCCTGCCTGTAGTAAGAGCTGGCTAAGGTCCTGCTATTTGTGATGTAAGATGGAAGTAAATAGGCACAGTTTGTAGCTTCAGGTATCCCAGAAATGGGTAGCTTCCCCACCAACAAGGAACTAGTTCTCTTAATTCCATTCACTGCCTTTATCTTACATTGTCTTTCTCATAGAAACTTCTAAAGACAAGATGAGAAAAATGGACCGTATATAGGAGAATCTGTACCTGACCACAAATGTCAAGTCTGCTACTCTATAGAGTAGTCATAGGACCAGTTGATTCTTTGATGCAATGGACAGTCAGTGTGTAGTTTATGATGAGAATTGAACATATTTCCAGGACAGGTGCACTGAAGTTTATTCATTTGCAAATTTACTTTCTCTCCCTTTCTTCTTCTTCCCCTCCATCTTTCCTCTCCTTCCCTCACCTTTCTGAATATCTGAAGACACAATAATCACTAAAACACAAGTAGACAAAACCTTACTCATATATAAGACACACATCATATGTGCTGGGAACCCAGGAACACTACATAAGGAACATATTATACCAGTTCACATCAAGACTTGAACTTACATATTAACCACACTTTCACCTAATGCTTTCTGATACAGGCGGTGATGCTCAGGCCAGTGCCCTTGTGTCTACACCCTACATGGCTCCTCTAAGGTTCTCAAGATTAAACAGCCAGCAGCCAACTTTGTGTATGTGCATGTAAACAAGAGGGCTAGGCTTTAAATAATTATGTCAAAGAAATGACAACTGTGCTCTTTGCCAGAACAGGGATGAATAATTACAAAGCCAGGACATAATTAAGCAATTGTGACTGTCCGGATATTGAGCTGCTTCTCTGATGTGCAGAGCTGCTGTGTCGCCATGTGCACCCTCCTGGACAGGCTTCTGGGCCCCTTTGATCTTCATTTCCCAGTGCAGCAATGGGGTAGATGCCTTTCACTGGGGGACCTGAGCTTCTCAGTGTCTACTTCAGAGCTCGCTCTATTGACAATGGCTTGATTCAGTGGTCAATATTTGACAAAGATAGGTATTTTCTTTAAAGTTCTGGGAAATGAGTAAATCCTAGCTGTTGCAGGTCCATTAAATGTTCCCATGCTTGCATGCACACACATACACACAAACAGACACACACACACACTCATACAGAGTGTGCCTGTGTGTCTGAGAAAACCCACTGTAACATTAACTATCAGTTTCTCACAAATGACAGCATCTTTCCATAAAACAAGTCAAACTTAGAAGAAAGACAGCTGTGAATCAACAAAAGGCAAAGAACAGTCACAGAGGCAAAGGTAAATGTATCATCAGGAACAAGAGCTAGAGAGAACTTGGCCTCAAGTGTCCAGGCTGTCCAGGTACCAAGGCAGACCTTGGTGATACAGGCTACAGGAAGTTGTTTAGTTCCTGGATGGGTTTGCATCTGTATCAGCCGAGAACACCCGGTCTGCCTGTTCCCTGACTCGAAGGTAAGGGCTGTGATTGGAGAGGCATTTTCCATTCTCCCAAATACTTTATGTCAGGAATAAAATGAAAACAGCTCCCCAAATCACAACTTCCTTGATCATCCATCAGAACTTTGTGCTGAATAAGCAAAACAGGTCCCGTTGCCCCAAAAAGAACAGAAGCCAACTCGAGATTCTGATTCTGTTATGAAAAATAGGTCTTCAGCAAGTGTGCACCGTGCAACTCCAGCAATTTGAGAAAAGGAAATTGCTCTCCATTTAGAAGCTGACTCCAGGTGTACACATGCCTCCCTGAACACACACACACACACACACACACACACACACACACACACACACACATAGAAAGAAGCATGTGTCTGGACACACGATGAATTGGAAAGAAGCAGCCTTCTGAACACCAGTTTATTAATTCAGCAAAAAGCTCTTTTGGCTTCCTTCTATCTGCAGGAAAAATACCAGTGTGTGTCTCAGCAAATAACAGACAAAAAGGAATTGCCTGCCATTCAGCAGACATGCGCAATATGATAAACCAGTAATATCATGAAATCTTCTTCAAATCTTGAAGTATCATCACATAGAACACTCAACCAGAACCTCAAGACCCCTATGCCTTATCAGTATTGAGGCTTCTCCCTCTCTTCCAGATCCCTCACCCACATAGTAACAGAAAGGATTCCTAAAGTGCTCTCCAGCTGGGAAATTGTGTGACTCTACAGAAAGAGAAGCCAAGATCTCCATGCTGCTTTGTCAAGTGTATTTTTGTCTCTCTCCTGAAATAATGTATGGGCATTTTTAAGTGTAATACAGTTAGTAAAGGTATTAGAGTCAATCACATAAACACGTGCTAATTTTATAATTGATTGGAAGCTAATTGGGAACACTAAAGAACATTATTGCTGGTGTCACTAATGACTCAGACAGCTGATGGCAGGTTTTACGGAACCCTTTCCCATCATGCTCAAAGGCAAGAGGGGATTTCAGTTCTCCTTAGCTCCATACAGTGAGACAGTCCATCCCCACCTGTCTTCCTTGCTCAGGCTCTTCTGGGAAGTTTCATGTTTGCCAAGACATACATCCCCAGGGAAAATATTGATCTCTCTCTCTAATGCTAAAATAGCAGAGTGAGAAGAGACCAGGCCCCATGTCAGATATAATGGAAAAATTCCAGCTCAGGAATTCATGACCAAGTGCCCCTGGGCAACCCCACAAACTGCTCTGAATCCGTGGCCCTTTCTTCTGTGTGTGCAGGGTTCTGAGACACGGAACTTTGAAAGAAAGTCAGGCACATACAGAATGTAACATCCCAGTACATGGGCAGCCTAGTTAGTACGTCTTCAGATTTCCATTGGCAGTGTTACAACTTCCAGTCCCAAAGCAAATGACAGAAATACAAACAGGGATCTGCTCAGCGCAGTGTGGATTTGAAGGTGGGAAAGAAGGCAGGATGGCCAGGATCTGACCCCAGGGTATTACAAAGACTTCATCTGCTGTACTTGACTGGAGTTGGTGATGTTGGCTGGCTCTGAAATCCTAAGAGGGAAGAAAGAGAGAAAGGGAAGAAGAGAAAAAGAAAAGAAGCCAGGAGATAAATTCTTTCATTTGGACAAGATGACAAGAGCTGGAATAACTAAAGGCAGTCATGTGCACTATGTCAGGCCAGTGTTCCAATAAGGAGAACTGTTAACACTTTAATAGCTATGAAATGAATCACTCAATTAATTCTCCACATGCTGAAACAGGTAACAATACATTTATCTGCCAGAATTATACCCTCCGTATCATATATTTCCACAACTGTTAGCAATTTCATTCAGCATAACAGGAAATCAGTCGCACCTCATGGATTCAGGGAAAGAAGTGGCCCGAGGTCTGCTGCCAACAGCATAACTTGATGGAAGAGGTTTCATTGTTCTGCTCCGTTTTGGCACTGTTTGGCTTTGCTTCCCTGTTTAATCACTTCCAATGCATGTACAGAGGGCTATAAGTCACGGGGTGAGGACAAACTAGGCCTTTAGGATTCCTATGCCAGCATTTTTAACATAGAACTACAATTTCATAGGCAATAAGTACTGAGCTCCACAGTGCATCAGGATAGTGAAGTTTCTAGAAAGGGGTCATCATCAGGGTCACAGAATCTACTCACCAGGCTCAGACTTCTTAGAAGGGCCCAAATATCTCCCAGAGAGATGATTGTGAATAGCCTTAAAATTTCCTTGTGTCTGAATCCAGGACTACAAACCAACTCTCCCAATAAACCCTGATGAACTGTATATAGGAAGCACACAACAGCCCCAACATACACTGCAAGAACCACTGCCTACTGCAGAAAGAGCTCCTCAGGGAACAGAAGAAGAAGCTTCATCTCTGATAGAAGGAAATTACCCCCTTTTAGTAGCAAGAAGTAACAGCCCTCTCCAAAGGACAAGAGGAATTTTGTCCACCCAAGCAACACAAAATTTCCAGTGTGTCCTTTTTCAGTTCTATACCTGCTGAGAAGAAAGCATTAAGGAGGCCTAAAATTCACCTGTAGAACTTCACAGGCTTCATTCATGTTTCTGTGCATCTTTGTTACTTTTCTATTGCTAAGCTAAGATGCCACAACCAAGACAACTTATGGACAAAGCCATTTATTTCAGGCTTACATTTTCAGGGCGTGAGTCCATGACCATCAATCATGTCAGGAAGCATGTAAGCAGACAGGCAGAAGAGACTAGAGAAGCAGCAGAGGCCTTATATCCTGACCCACATGACTGGAAATGGTATGGGAGTTTGAAACCTCAAAACCCACACCCCCAGTGTCATACTCCTTCAATAAAGCCATGCTTCCTAATCCTTCCCAAATAGTTCTGCCATTTATCACCATTATTCAAACACATGAGTCCATGGGAGCCATTTTCATTCAACCCCCAGCATGTGCTATAAAATGGGTCTCCTTAGACTTAGTGGAAGAGAGACCCCAATAGTATGCAGTCAATTTCATGATTGGCCAGCTCTGTAGCTATGAGTGAACCCTGGTGTGAGATCACAACTCTTCTCAATGCACAGGAAGACATTACCCATCCTCCTCAGAGCAGCCAGTGGAGTAAATTCTAATTCCACAGGAAAATTAGACAGTAGCAGCTCACCTTGGGCTTCACTACCTTCATGAAGGCCCCTCTGACCAAAGCCTCCTCCCGTTCTTGCCTGGTGACTTTCTGGGCATCCAGAAACTTCAAATTTGGCAACTTGTGCAGAACAAAGCACCTGGGGAAAAAGGCAGAAACAAGTCAAGAATGTTGGAGTGAGCCTCAGGGACATGGAGAACATGTCTGAACCACGAGGATCCACAACACAAGACTCTAAGGATTTAGATCTTAGCCATTCTCTCCCTCTCTCCCCAAAACAGTTTTTCCCCTTTATGGGAAATTTGAATGGTTGTACTTTACACAGACATATAAACAAACTTCAGTGAAAACTGCACTTGACTCAAGAGTAGATACACAACTCAGTAGAATTAGGCAGCTAGTAGGACCCTGTCAATGTATTCCTTTCTTCCATTCTAGGAAACATGCCTGGCTTCAATATGTAAAGTTCTCAGTAAGACTAACATAAACTTTGATCAGTTGTACCATATATGTAACTGCCATTAGTGGGAGGCATCTGTGTCACTGTCATTATTGATATAGTTGATCTGCAAACTGGAGCTGAGGCTGGAGGTCAGGATTTCCCACATGGAACCTTAAAGGAGATCTAATAAGCTTGGATGGCTTTGGGATGCGTGTAGCTAAGAATCACTTCACTGAGGATTCAATATAGTCTTAAGTACTTTCTGTCATGATTTCTGGGTCATTTCCACAATGTATTATGGAGATGATCACTGTCAAGGATAAATAGAAAGCAGAGGAAATTTCTAAGGTTTTTTTAATAGCCAGCAAATACAGGATGTCCTCTGTTGTATTGGGAAGAATCCTTAGTATCATTATGGACCACCAAGATAAGCCAATGGCTATGTGTGTGATAACTGCCCTCAAACAGATTTCATAAGTGTATGAAGGGTATTGGCAAGAAGATACATTTGGCCAGGGTATATGTTTATAAATGTATAAATAAAGACACTTGTCTATACTTTCTTGTCAGCAAAAGTCATCAAACCACTTGCTTCCCATCAAGACCACATTCTCTATCAAATGAGAAACTGTCAGGGGCCTCTTCTTCTTTAGAAAAGCTGAACATCCAATGTCAAGAGCAATGAACATTCTCTAAAGAAACCCATCTCTTCCTGCATCCACTTCCTCAGAATTCTCTCATTTTCCAAATCCCAACCCCAGAAAAATCTCACCTCTAATAAATAGTGCCCTCTTAACTCCAAACATTCCTAGAATACACTATCAGCATCCATGCCAAAATACTGTCATTTTCTAGTTATTTCCTTATTGTTCAAGTAATGAATATCCTTACCTTTACTCCAACCTTCTCAAAGACTTACCTTTATTGTATTTTGGAATCTAACACAAGAATTAATTCAATAGCCTATCCATTCATTTCAGCCACACAAGCTTTTCCTGAGTACCTACTATCTGCTAGGCCCCAGGGATACAGAAATGATTATGCTACCTCTCTACTCTCAAAGGGGCTCTTACTGTAATGAGGAATGTGTACTCACATACAACCAACTAGAAATCAGTAAGGTTAAGTTCTATATAGAGCCATTATGGGGAAACAGAGTGATCGGAAACTAAAGGGAAAAGGAGGACTATGCCATCGCAAAGGAGCTTCAGAGAATCAAATTTCAAAAGCAATCCACTTAAAGTTGTATCAGTGTAGATATTACTTGAGCATAAACTGTGCCTCCTTCTCCATTGGAACCTTGGGTTCTCAGAGCCTCCTTCCACATCCATAAGGCAATTTTATGTCATCAAGTGACATTTATAACCTTATTCAGTTAAAAGAGATGGTTATCACTCAAAAGCTAGAAGCAAAAATTTAAAGGGCTCCTGAATTTTAAAGTCAAAACACACTGAAATTATTTTGAAATTAACTTTAATTAATTCTCTTATGAATTAAATTATTATTTCATGTGATTGAGGAAGCACTTGGACACTGCACTGGGCATAGGTCAAAGGCCAACATTCTAGAGCCACTTCTCTCCTTTGACTTTATTGATGAAAGGTCTTTCCTTTGATTTTGCAGTGTTATGTACTATAGGTTAGCTGGCCCATGAGCTTTTAGGCTCCAGTCTCTACCTTGCATCTCCTTATTAGATTGCCTGGGATTAGAGATATGCTCCATCACAGCCCCAGGGATGGAACGCAGGTCATCATGTTTGTGTGGTCCTTGAAATCCTTTTACAGTCCATCCCAAGACCAGAGGTCTTATGGTCTTATAATCTCAATCTCTCTTTCCCTCTCCCTTTCTCTCTTTTTTCTCTCTCACCCTCTCCCTTTTTCTTTCCTTCTCCCTCTCTCCCCCTCCCTCCCACATTCCTATTGCTTCCTCCCTAGCCTCAACCTGTTACCCACTTCCTTTTCTCCCTAAGCCTTTCTACCTTTCCTCAACCCCTTCTAACATGTCTGATCTTATCCAAAATGAGGCAAAGGGCTCAAATGTTCTTTCTACCCTTTAGCAGAATTCCCACCGGCCTCAGACTGTCAGAGAAAACTTCTATCTCCTGCTTATACTGGCAAAGTCTTGATGACAACAGATTCTTTCAAATAGAGACATGCACAGACAGAAACAATATGTCAGGAGTGACGCTCAAAGGAATAAAGACACCCACTAAGTGTAGGGTGGGAAAAGATGAATATTCAGGTGAGGACAACATCAGTATTAGAAAATCAGCCGGTGTTTAATGATGGAGTGAAAGATGCCTTCATGGGGCTGCCAGGAACCATGATGACAACAGACTGTGCATTGTCATTTTGCCTCACTTTGGATCACAGCTCTGAAATCAAAGGAGGAAGGCAGAGAGGTGCTGGCTTTTAAGCTAGTTAAGAATTTTTGGATGACAAAGAGCTGCTGTTTTCAGGATTCTTCTTCTAGTCAGAGAGACAGCCTATGACACAGTATGCCAATCACCCCGAGACTCTGAGTGACTTCATTTCCATCCTTAGGGCCACTGAGAGTTCCCAGAGAGATTTGAGGAACTCTAGGGTTACCCAATCAGTTAGGACAAGAGTGTGGACCCTGGAAGGATAACAAACCAGTGGAGGCTATCTACCCACTCTCAATAGACAATTAATGAGACAAATGAACAGTGAAAAACAAATGTGACCACATTGGGAAAAGGAGCAAGGAGGCTCAATGATTGTCAAGTCCATCTTTATGGTCCTAAGGTGATACTTAGTTTTAAATAGAGGGTCAGATGTATGCACAGCTAAGCAGTTCTGGTCAAGGAAGGGTTCTGCCTATCACCATTTGTCTCAGTTCAGGTGTCTCCTGCAATATGAGCTGACAAGCTGTAAATCTCTTCAGGGAGGCAAGCTCCCTCTGGTTGGCACCAGGCTCTCAGGCTTTTCCTTCTTCTAGAATGAGATTCTGAAGGAATCTCTGATTTCTTGGAATGTACTCTTTAGAATACCTTCATCCCAAGGGGCTGTGAGATGTTGCTCAGTTTGAGTTTGATCCCCGTGGCCCACAGTAGAAGGCAAAATGATTCCTAAGAGTCATCCCATGACCTCCACAGGTGCTCTGTGGCAAGCAAGCACCCCATGGGTATATGTGCATGCACATATATACACTAATAATACATTATATTTTTAAAATTTTGAAATGGGGCTAGAGATATAACTCTGCTGCTACATGTACCTCATGCTCTTCCATCCATGACTAGAAGTGTTCCACAACTATAACTATAGCTCCAGATAATCTGACACCCTCTTCTCACCTAAGTGGTCACCCAAATATGTTTAGTATATACTCATCTATACACAGAGACACATAAACACAAATTGAAGCTTTTTTTTTTTTTTTTTAAGGGAAGGAGCTGTGCAGGGTGCTGAAAAGGAGAGGAAGCAGAGCAGATGCCCTCTGCTCTCACTATGTCCTGCGGTGTGGCACAGTATTGACATCCCAGCAGAGTGGTTCTTGACTTGGAGCAGGCATTCTCGTGGCCTACAGGCTTGTTAAAGCACAGACGCAGACGCCAGCCTGTCCCCAGAGCTCCTGACTGAGGCGATCTGGACCGAGGCTTGGAATTTATGTTTCTAATAAGTTCCCAGGTGATGCTGTCACTGCTGCCATCCTGCTGTGAACCAATGTCCTAGTGAAAACAACACCACAAGGACTAATAGTTGGGAAATTATGAGCGCAATGAGGCAGCCAGGACTCTCCTTCCCAGTTCAGTGAACAGTCAGCCCTGCCGCAGCACCTGCACTACAAGGAGCCCAGTGAACAGTCACATTTACCAGATCTTCCTGTCCCCTGGTCACTTAGAATAGGCTCTGGCATTCCTGCCTAGTGATAAGCCAGTGGGTGTCCAGCCTGCCCATCCCGTGCTGGTCTTGAGAGATCTATTTCCCTTTGTTTTGGGTCATGTCAGAATGTCAAAAGCTGCAGCTTCAATCCTGACTATAATACAAGTTTGCCATAAAAACACAAGAGCAGATTGCCGAAGCCAGAATGAAGGCTTTTACAATATCAATTCAACCCTTGTAAATTTAATCCAGGGTTATTTGTTGCACCCAAATCTCTTTACTGTGATGTATGACTTAGTTACTGGGGTTATCACAGCCGTATCCTAAAGTTGCATAGTACATAAAACATTTCAGTTAACAATGCAGGGAGGTTAACTCCCCCAGATAACCTGCAATCACAAGGGCTAGTCCAGATGACATCCCTCTGTCAGCTCACAGGAGCTATTGATGGTCCAATCAGTTTGTTTTGAAGGGAAAGAACAACAAAAGGCCAGTAAACTTATTCAGACTGTCAACAGGGGCTATCGGGAATGGGACTTGCAGGTAAGTAATTCTGGGTGTTTTAAGGCTATTATCAAACAGCAATGGTTGAAGGGAGAGACAGCTACTAATAACACAGAAGGCAGCCATCATAAACCACTTTATGGCAGAACCCCCCCTGTCCATAAATCCTGTGACACCCAGAGACAGTTTCAGATTTATAAAACTGCTTGTTAAGCCAGAACACTGCTTAATGAGAAGAGATCAGTCTAACTTAAGTCTCCCATCCCTAGCTGCAGAGGGCAACTTCAATTTGCCTGACCTTCTCAAGGTGGCAGGGGGAAAATCCCCACAGCTAGAGATGGTGGGATT